AATCACATTACATCACCAGGAGACAGGACATTTGCATATCACGTGAAATCGAAAGGCAACTGGGCAAGGCGAAGGAGTTTAGCCGGCAGCTTCATTTCCTTGCTGTTAGCACCTTGTTCCTTTCCCATCATTTATCATCTGGCCATTTGGGTGTTCATTTCGTTTTCTGAAGGGATTACCGATTGAGCGTTTCTCTACAAAAGCCGAGAAAGGCGAGACATTTGCATATCACATGGAATCGAAAGGCAACTAGGCAAAGCGAAGGGGTTTAGCCGGCAGCTTCACTTCCTTGCTGTTAACACCTTGTTCCTTTGGCAACATTCATCATTGGATCGCTTTTTGACCATGTTGATGTGTCTCGCCAAAATTTTTACTTACTTTACTTATTTTGCCTTAAGGCTTAGGTGCATACTTATTTTGGCTTAAAGCTGAATGTACGCTTCCAGGAATGTTCGTTTTCGTCGGAAATTGCTTCAACATCAAGTGCCTCGGTGGTTGATGCATTGGCAAGTCGAGCATCACGAACGCTCTATGTGGGTGGCCTGGAACGACGAACATCCGATGATTCGCTGCGCAATCGATTTGGCCATTTTGGTCATATTTTGGAAATCGGTAAGTTTTTCCCCTCTTCAGAAGTGCAAAAATTATGCAAATCGGCTGAGCCGTTCGTTTAAATTTTTCCGAACGAAAAAGAGGAAATTTGAAGCAAAATTCAGTAAAAACGGCAAGAAACACTCTTCTTCAGCGGCCCCGCTTTTATGCGTTTTTTTGCTCTTCACTTTACCTATAATTGCTTGGGAAATAGTGCTTGAAGAGGCGATTTAAGACAGCCTGCGGGGCGCATAGGTACTAGTATCGATTCTTTGTATCGTGATAAGGGAAGGGGTGCAAGGGTAAGTGGGGGGGAACGAAGGGGGAAAGGGGAGGGACGAAGGGGGAAAGGGGAGGGGTTGGTTTATATAGTAAAATCTGGTAGGCTTTACGAAGGGTTAGCAGGACATTTCTGGCGTAGGAGAACCCGCTGCTGATTGTACTGTGTACCGGAGATGTATGTACTGGTAGAGGTTCAAATTATCGTGAGGAGGAGGGCGGGGGGAGAGTTTTGGGGAGGGGAGGGGAAAAGGGGGAACGGGAAGGGAAGGGGGATTGGCTTAAGCAGTAAGAGTTGGCAGGCTTTACGAAAGGTTGGGAGGGGGCATTTTCGGCGTAGGAAAACCCGTCGATGATTCGCCTGGGCGGTAAATTTAAGTTGATATTGTACTTCATATGTTATTAAAGGTTAAAAGAGAATATAGGAGAAAAAGGAAATGATACAAAGAAGAAATGGATATTAAGATAGATAAGGGATATAAAAATATTTGTTATAGGTAAGAAACGTTTCGGTCCATTAAGTCGTATACATTACCTTCCGAGTGTCTTCGTTTGTTGTTGGGAATGTGCGGGGCGGGGAAAGGGGGAGGGGGAGACGTTAATACCTGTCTCGTCCTTATCTGGCTCTTCAGTCTTACCAGAATCTAGGCTCACATTATTAACTTTCTTTCGCACTCGAAGTAGATCTGCATTTATTTGGTCAATTTTGCCTGGAATCAAAAGAAAACCTTGATCAACGTTTTGTTGCAGAGGAGGTTTTCATTGCTTGATTTTTGATGGAAAAAAAAAT